GGAGGGAGGGATGCTCTTGGGGTGAAGGCTGGGTGCTGTAGGGGATGGGAAACCAGGGCTACCCTCTCAACCATGGGTGAACCCTGTCCCCTGCGCCGGGCCACCCATGTTGCTGCAGGAGCTGGAGCTGATGGAAAACATCTTGACAAGCAAGCAGGATGAGAGTTGGGAGCAGCGGGGCCCCCGGGCCTCCTTCACCCGCCAGGAGCGGAGCCGCCTGCTCTGGGAGGACGTCAGTGTCATGGAGGAGGATGCCACCAAAGTCACTGCCCTGAAGCTGAGGCTGGATGAGTCCCAAAAAGTGCTGCTCAAGGAGCGAGAGTGAGTGCTTGGGGTGTTATCCTTGCAGGCTGCCGGCCCTGCCCAGCCCTGTCCCACTAAGGATGGGACATCCCCTGGGGTCCTGCCGGCCATCACCACCGTTGCCTCTCCCCAGGGACAAGCTTGCACTCAGCAAAAACATTGAAAAGCTGGAGGGTGAGCTCAGCCAGTGGAAGATCAAGTATGAGGAGCTCAACAAGAACAAGCAGGAGGTGATGAAGCAGGTGAGCAAGGTGCCTGGGGACCAGGGGTGACCTGTGGGGTGGCCCATCCCTGGTGGGTAGCATGTCCTGGTGGGTTGACATGGTGACCCACGGACACCCTCCCCACTCCAGGTTGCTCATTAAAGGGTCTTAATTAGTGATATTAAGCCAGTTGGTCTGGGCACAGAGGTTGGGTGCAGGCAGGGCTCCAGTGACGCAGGGTGGGTACTGCCCACCTTGGGTGCTGTGTCCTCCCCCTGCAGCTCAACATCCTGAAGGAGATCCACCAGGATGAGCTGGGGCGCATCTCTGAGGACCTGGAAGACGAGCTGGGTGCTCGCTCCAGCATGGACAAGAAGCTGGCTGAGCTGCGTGCAGAGGTGAGGCTGAACCCCAACACGGGGGGCGAAGGGAGTGGTGAGGGGGATCCCCACTGCCCCTGGCCACCCCATGTCCCTCTCCCAGATGGAGCGGCTGCAGGCAGAAAATGCAGCTGAGTGGGGCCGGCGAGAGCGGCTGGAGACGGAGAAGCTCAACCTGGAGCGGGAGAACAAGAAGCTGCGGGCGCAGATCGAGGATCTGGAGGAGGTGCTGGCTCGCAAGCGGCGCCAAACGGCCAGTGCCCTGGACACCGACCTCAAAACCATCCAGGCCGAGCTCTTTGAGAAGAACAAGGTGCCGTGCGGGTGGTTCTGTCCCCTGCCAGCCCTCCCTGGGTGACCCTGTCACTTCAGTGGTGGCTCAGCATCCCCCAGGACCTCCTCAAGGCCAAACTCTGTCACCACCCTTCATCTAGGGGATGATGGTGACCCTGTCCTTGTTCCATAAGCTCCTCCATTGTGGGGTGGGGTGGTAGAAAAAGTCCCTGTGGAGGGTGAAGGGGGCATCCGGCAGTGGGGGTGGCTCTCACCCACTCAGCTCCCCACCCTGTGCCCACCGCAGGAGCTGGCTGACCTGAAACACGTCCATGCCAAGCTGAAGAAGCAGTACCAGGAGAAGATGGCCGAGCTGGCCCATGCCAACCGCCGCGTGGAGCAGCATGAGGGCGAGGTGAAGAAGCTGCGCCTGAGAGTGGAGGAGCTGAAGAAGGAGCTGGCCCAAGCTGAGGATGAGGTGGGGAAGCTTGTGCTGGTAGAGGGGGTCAGGGTGGGAGGCTCTGCTTCCTCTGCGGCTGCTGACAGCTCCATCCCATCCCATTCCACCCTGTCCCATCCCATCCCGCAGTTGGATGAAGCCCACAACCAGACGCGAAAGCTGCAGCGGTCGCTGGATGAGCAGACGGAGCAGAGTGAGAGCTTCCAAGTGCAGCTGGAGCATCTGCAGTCCCGGTGAGCGAGGGACCGGGGGAACCCCGGGGGGGACCAGCAAGGACCCAAAGGTGGGATGACATTCTCCTTGCCACCATCCCTCAACCAGCATCTCCCTGGTTGAACCCTGGGCTAAGGGTGGCCCAGGTGTCTTTAACATCCTTGGAGTGTGTGCAACCATCCTTGAAGCAGCCTTAACCTCCCCGTTAAACCAGCACAAGGCTGCCCACAGACCAGTACAGCTCGGTTTCACACAGCTTGGGGTTTTGCCCACTGGTAACTCAGGGCCAGGCCAGGCTCAGAGTGTCCCACACCAGTCTGGGGAGGCAGGAGGTGGGTTTTATTGTCCTTAAAAACTTCTCCTGGCCTCGCTTCGCCTCTCTGGCAGTAAAGAGCTGAAATGGCCGTGAGAGATCGATGCTGTGTCTCCGGGAGGCACTGGGGGGGGGGTTGTTTTTATAATCTTCCTTTATTTTATTGGGACATCTTCACTAAATCATGGAGGAATAATGGAGGCTTCGTCTTCCCCCCTCCCCCCTTCAGCCTCCTTGTGCGCTCACACTTAAATAATTCATGCTTTCCAGTAAAACAGCAAACTGGTTGGATCCAACTGGGTCCTGGGCCTTTGATTTCAAATTTGCTTCATAAATTTGAGGAATTTTAACGTGAGGGCGAGTGAGGAAACTACCCCAGGCTCCTGGGAATGGGGACTCTTGGGGTTTTACTAGGGAAGCCCCATTTTAGGGGGACGACTTCTCCCTGCCCCACACTCTGGGCTGGGTCTGAGCTGCCCAGAGTGGCGGTACCCAGTCCCAGAAGGGTCTTAGCCAGTGCCCCACACAAGTGGGCATCACTTGGGGACCCCCAGCCCTACAGGAGGGGCTGATCCTGTACCCCGAACTTAGTGGGAGTTGCAGAAACGGGTCTCACTGGGGTGCAGCCATGCTGTAGGGATGCAGGGGGATGGGCTGGTCTTCAGCGTCCCCCCGGGGCTGCCCCCCACCACTCCCCACCCCAGCAGCTCTCTCTTGGCAGGCTGCGGCGGCAGCAGAGCACCCCGCTTTTCGGCAAGATGCGCAGCACCCGCTTCGGCCCCGACGATGCTGGGGATGGCACCAGCGACCCCGACGAGGACGAGGACCTGCAGATCCAGGTGCCCTAGAGCCCAGGGCAAGGCGCCACCACCTTGGGGACATCCCATGGCAGTCTTCTGCCCACAAGTGCCTGTCACCACAGTGCCTGGCCATACAGTGACCTGTGTATTGATGGGGAAGCTGAGTCCCAGAGCAGCAGGAAGGAATTTCCCCAGGGATGCTCCAAGCCCACTGCCTCTCAGACAGTATCCGATGCCCCTCGCCCACTGCATCTCCTGGGACACATGGGCACCAAAGGCAGCGTCACCTGAAGAGCCCAGGAGGAGGAAGTACAGGACAGAAAGGGGCACCGAGCCCTGCTGCCAGCCACACTCTCCTGCCCACATTTTTTATATATTTTATATATATGTATGTATTTGTATATGATTTTTTTATTATAAATACAGAGCCCAGAGGGGTCCAGGGTCTGGTGGTGGCTTGGGCTGCTGCTCTGTCCCCATGCAGGAGGGAGGATTGAGGGGACGGGGCGGGGGGACAGCATCCAGGAGACGGGACATTTCTCCACAAGCCACATGCCGGGCTGGGCGTGCGGCTGCTGGCGTCACCCTGCTGCCACCACTGTCCCCACGCCTGTGAGGTGAGACACGGGAGCTGTGGCAGGGGCTGGTGACATGTGTAGCCATAGAGGTGGCTGTGTCTGCAGGGCTGGGGCGGGCAGGCAGAGGTGCCCACCCGTGGGTGCAGGGTCTCACCCTGCGGAGGTGTAGGGGTGCTCACCCGTGGGTTCAAGGGTGCTCACCAGTGGGTACAGAGATCATCCCCTGTGAGTTCAAGGGTGTTCACCAGTGTGTACAGAGATCACCCCCTGTGAGTTCAAGGGTGTTCACCAGTGTGTACAGAGATCACCCCCTGTGAGTTCAAGGGTGCTCACCAGTGGGTACAGAGATCATCCCCTGTGAGTTCAAGGGTGCTCACCAGTGGGTTCAAGGGTGCTCACCAGTGGGTACAGAGATCTGGGTTCAAAGGTGCTCACTGCTGAGTGTAGGGATCATCACCCATGGATGCAGAGGTGTTTGCCCATGGGTGCAGGCGTGCTCACCTATGTGTGCAGGGTGCTCATCCATGGGTGCTGCCCCTCCAGCCCAGGCCCCTGCAGCCCAGCCCCCACAGAGCAGGGCCTTGCGAGGCTTGGAGTTGCTCAGACACAACCTTATTAAAAATTAATATTTCAGTGAGCTAATCCCCTCGCTCTGCCTTTTAATTGATTGGCTAAAAGCATGGCTCTTTGCTGCTTGGGTTGTTTTTTTTTAATGCCTTTTTATTTCCAGTGATTATTCATTTTTTTATGGCCCAACAGGTGAGGCTGTGGGGGTGGAGCTGCCCGTCTGTGGCGTCAGTGGGGACCCTAAAAAGCAGAGTTTGGGGGGACAGAGAAAGGGGGGACAGGGAGGAGGAGTTGGGGGACAGCAGCTGGGTGAGAGGCTGCCGCGACTCGGCAGTGCCCGCGGGGCGTTCACTCTGAAGCCTAACGATGTGCGGGTGGGAAGCCTCTTCCAAGGCGGCTGCTGGTGGCTCGGATGGGGCTGGG